GCTTGGGTTCTAGGCCCAGTAACTCTGAGCTCCCCCAACAAGATTAGAGATTCCCCCTCTTCCTACTGTCCCTCCCACTGGGATTCTTTTCTCCCTGCCCTTTGCATAACTGCCTTCTTTCACCCCCTGGGCTCTGACTTAAGTAACATCTCTTCTGTGAGACCTTCCTTAACTGCCAGGTCTAAAAATGCTCCCCATCCTGCTCCCAATAACTGTTTACTGGAAGACATTCACCCCGTTTGTTGCCTCCATAGCACTTGCGACAATGTTTACTTTTAGGTGTTTGTTTGCTTCCTTGCTTAGCCACTTTTTCCCTCCCAAGGGCAGCAATCACATCTATTTTTATTCACTAAATGTGATCTCTTTTGCATAGCTAGGCTTTCAACAAATATGTGTTGAATAAGTGCAAGCTTATTTCAGCATAATGTGGTAAGCACTGTGACTGAAGTGTGTTTTAATGCCAAGGGACCACAGAAGACAGACTTCGAGCCCATTCTTACAGACCCCAAAGGAGGGCATCGCAGAGTGCCCCGCCACAGACCCTCAGTGCTCTTATGCACGCCTGCCACCTTCTAGTGCACAACTGCCACCCTGACACTCTGCTAGAGGCCTTTCTCTGCCTGAGGAACGCGCTTGGCTAACACACAGAGAAGGCCAGAAAGACCCAGGAGTGAATGCCTAGAGAAGCAGCCAATGAGGCGTGGCCATGGGTGGCCTGCACACCCCAGCTTCCTTGCCCCTGGGTGGGACGACTGTGCAGTATCATCTACAGTATTGCCATGAGGGCCAGCAGTTCCCTTAACCATTCATTGAAATGGTTTTCTGGGGCACCTGGGTGGTTCCTCAGTTGAGCGTTTGACTTGGGCTCGGGTCATGATCTCGTGGTTTGTGAGCCCAAGCCCCACGTCGGGTTCTGCACTGGTGATGTGGAGCCTGCTTGGGATATTCTCTCTTCCTCTTTGCTTCTTGCCTGCATGTTCTCTCTCTCTCTCTCTGTCTCCATCTCTCTCAAAATAAATAAATACACTTAAAAAATTTTTTAGTGGTTTCCAGAGGCTTCCTTCTCTATCTTGCTTCCCCCACTATTAGTTCTTCCACAGGATACCTCCTTAATACATTGCTTGCATTCAAATCCTCATCTCAGGTCAGCTTCTGGAAGATCTCAGTCTGAGAGGACAAGTGATCAGATTCTTGAGACCTGTCGAGTTCACCCGACAAGAAGTAAAATAATGTCTAAAGGCGCAGGATCCCCTTAGCACAGAAAAGAGACTCGAAGTCCTAGTTCCACCGAGGTACTTTTCCTCTACTGGGGTCAGATTTTGGTTTTGGCTGGGCCCCTGCCAAGTATTTACAGGAAAAGATAGTAAGAGTTTGATTGGGGCACCTGGGTGGCGCAGTCGGTTAAGCGTCCGACCTCAGCCAGGTCACGATCTCGCGGTCCGTGAGTTCGAGCCCCGCGTCGGGCTCTGGGCTGATGGCTCAGAGCCTGGAGCCTGTTTCCGATTCTGTGTCTCCCTCTCTCTCTGCACCTCCCCCGTTCATGCTCTGTCTCTCTCTGTCCCAAAAATAAATAAACGTTAAAAAAAAAATTAAAAAAAAAAAAAAAAGAGTTTGACTGATCTTCAGCCTATTAGACGAGCTAGTTCAGAGCCAAAAGCACAGGTCAGTGCAGGTGGACAGAAGGTTCTAAACTCCAAATAACACATTGCAACCCAGCATGCTGTACTCATGAGCCTTTAACTAAAGAGCTTCTTTGTGTCTTTTCCTTTTTTTGAAATACAACTCAGGATCCAGGAATGCGATGCCTCCCTGTGAAAAGGAAACCTTGTACAAATGGTTCCTTGAAAGCCAGCATGGAGCTTGGTTCATAAATTTTATGATGTGTGAAGCACATGTTCAAGGAAGTATTTATTAGTAAGGCCATAAGTTAAATTAGAAAGGGTGGTTCATGCCTTAAATATTCCGTCATTTTCCATACCGTTTATGTATCCAGATCCAAGTGTGAAATTTAAATTTGCTTTTAATGTATTCACCTGACAAATGATTTACTCTAGTCAAACGTATTTTCTCCGGAGTCCCCTGTAGTTATGTTTTGTAGTTGGGAGAGACTGGGGAAACACTTTTAAACTGGGTTTTCAATGTTAAAGTTTCTGTGCAGATATCATGAAACGATTTTAGGTGGATTTATTGAAATGTGGTTCTCCCTGCAAAGTAGAGTATTTTATATCGTGGATGCTATGATGAATTTAGAAACTGGTTGGTCACCGTGTTATCTCTGAAAAATCACACTTAGCAGACTGAGTGTATGAGTGGCTCACAGTAGAACACAGGTTCTATAATGAGCTGTAGCCCCTGGTTGCTGATTTTTGTAAAGCACTTTCTATGGCGTGCCAGGATGAGAGCTATAGTTGGAAAATTGTGAACTTTGCAGAACTTAAAAGGCATTGTAACCACCTTCTGATAGTCAACTCTTATAAATCTGAAATTGTGGAGGATATGCTATGCGTAGTCAGCCTTGCTTCCTACTGGAGTCCCAGTGTGAATATGGTTAATTTTATACATGTAAAGAGTAACAACATATTTACTGAAAGAACCTAAGTCATCCCGTGCTTTTAAAACAAAGAATAGTGTGTGTTTGCATGCGCAGCTGTGCATGTGTGTGGGTGATTCTGTAGTGGGAAAATGACTCCTGTAGAAACAAAAACTCATTAAAACATACTATAAATGTATAGAGATGTACATAGTGTGTGCCCTAAGGAGATCCTCCTTGAAACCACAAAGTAGTCAAAATGCGAACTCAAAGTTTTTAAAACATTTACATCTTGCGAAAATGTCTTTTTCAATCTCTATGTATTATATTTCCCTGATACACCATCGCTGACATTCTCTGGAAAGTGATAATGGCCTTAAGTAAAAGTAAACCAGCGTGGACCCCTGAAATGCACTGGCATACATTAAAGAAAGAAGCTAGCTGGTTTTTAATTCTTGGTTCATTTCACAAAAGATGGACAGCAATGTTGCAGTGTTGTGCCACAAAACCTACTCATCATGTTTTTTGCTGCATTTAAAATCAGGACTAGGAGCCAAAGTTTATCTTTAACTTTTTTTTTTTTTAATTCCAGCATAATTAGCACTCAGTGTTACATTCAGGGTTTACCTTTAAACACCAGTGCTTAAACAAGTTCAGACAAGGTGGTCCTAATTGTAACATGCTTTCCTTTCTTTTTTATCTGGTAGATTTCCTTTATAAGGGACAGAATAAGCAATAGACATTCACACATCTGTTCTCTCATATGCGACAACAGCATTTTAAGGCATCACTTGTTTATTTTATGTGTAGTTGTTAAAATTACAGACTCTGGAATTTGTTGCCTGGATCTGACTAACCAGCTCTGCAAATCATTAGCTCTGCATGACTTGGATCTTTGCTCCCTCTTCTATAGTTTGGGAATGCTGAAAGCATCTATTGCATATTTATATTGTGGACATTAAAAGAAATAATATATGGGAAGCACCCAGCACTGTGCCCGCCATCTTGAAAGTACTCAGCAAATGTAGTAGCAGCACTGGTCTGCTATGTGCCAGGCACTGAACGAGGCTACTTGCATTATCTCACTGCGTGGTCAACAAATGACCTGCAAGGTAGATGTAACCATGGGCGTTTTGTAACTCAAGAGGCGGCAGCTCAGAAAAGACACTAAGAAACTAGCTGGCAAGATGCAACCCAATGATGTAAACCCAGGCCCCTCTGCCTCTGTGTTCTTCCCCCTGTTCATGTCCTCTCTCACACGGTACCAGCTGCATGTGGCTGTTTAGCTGGTGGCTAACTAGCTGGTGGAAGTTCAGGAAGTGACCTCCTGAACCTGCTGGGACCTTTTCACTTGTAAAGTACCATGTGACTCCTAAGAAATCCCTGTGTCTGCAGAAACAGCCATGTTGACATCAAAGGGGGAATGATTTCCAGTCTACAACTACTGCACGGGAACATTGACCCATTCCTCATTCTTCAAGTGGGGGCTTTGGGGTTGTTTTCTGTAACGTGCCATAGGTTCCCCCAGTTAGAAGATTGAAGCATTGCTCAGGATGATAATTGAGATAGTAAGATCTCATTCTGTCACTTGTTAGGAAGGTTTGCCTTCCTAAGGCAAACACTTTCTTCCAAAAATGAAGAAATCAAATGGATTAACTAGAGTTGGGTATTTCCTGAATGCAGTTGCTAATATCTGAGTTATTTCCCTTGGCAAAATGACATCTTTGCGTTCCGCCTCCTTTAGGAGAGCCTGGTTGGCAAGCAAATTATTTTCTTCCCTTTGTTTTCCTTTCTGTTTCTTAAGTAAACATTTTTTATGAGCATTTGATCATGAGGGATTTGACTTTATCTGGTGTGGCATTATCATCAAAGGGTCTACATAAAATGCATCTTTTATGCATCCTATGACCACACCTTTCACTTTTTTGTCCCTATGGACTGTTTTTGTTGACTCCAAAGAATGATTTGGCCTCAGAGAAAGCTTCTTATCAAGTGAAGTAAGAGGAAGAAGTTGTACCTACCAAGGCAAACACTCCTCCCACCTCCAGAAATACGCATATGCTGTTCTAAGTCCATCATTCAGATTTTATCATTTATTTGGAGTTGAGCAATGCTACTTGGTGATTAAAACACACAATATTTCAGCATTATTTCCAAGCAGAGTCCAGGCAGAGAAGCCCTAAGGACATACAGATCAAGAGCTATCCACAAGTTAAACATTCCCTCAACACATGAGGTATAGTGAATACCTGTCATGGGTCAGGCAATGGTAGGCAGGAGGTATATAGTAGATTGGCATGTCTCCAGGGAAGAAAATCTGGTAACCTGGGTATTCCTAATATGACTGAAATTCTGTAAATTCCATGATAAATCAAAGGTCAGCTTCAATGAACTATCCCCTTCTCGGAGATTCTCATTTTATATAAACACAATGTAACCCCACCTGGTTTCTTTCTTTTCTTGTTCACAGAATGTCAGTACTGGGGCTCAGAGCTCCAGCTACCTACACTGGATTTTGAAGATGTTTTAAAAGATGATGAACATGCATACAAGTGGCTCTCCAGCCTCAAGAAAGTAGGCATAGTACGACTCACAGGAGCATCTGACAAACGGGGAGAAGTTTTAAAACTTGGGAAAAGGATTGGTTTCCTTTACCTTACATTTTATGGGTGAGTCACCAAATAGTCTGTATTCTGCCATTATATGTAAAGTTTGATATATTTCCCAGAAGGGGGACACTTTTGACTGGAGATACAAAATTTCCATAATGCCATGAACAGGAAGTCAGATGAGAAGGTGAATCTAAAAGTGGGATTTCCCTGAGAATAACTGAAATCTTAAGGGATCCTAAAAGCCCTAAGACATCAGACATCAAAGACAGGCTAGTGATGGATGGTGTGTTAGTTTGCTAGGGCTACCCTAACAGAATACCATAGACTGGGTCGCTTAAACAACAGAAATTTATTTATTTCCTCCCAGTTCTGAAAGCCAGAAGTCTAAGATCAAGGTGCTGGCAGGTTTGGTTTCCGGTGAGAGCTCTCTTTGTGACTTGGAGATGGCCTTTCCTCTCTGTACCTGCATTGTTGGTGTCTCTTCCTCTTCTTATAAGGACACCAGTCCTAAAGAAGAGCCCCAGCCTTACAACTTCATTTAACTTTATTCACCTCCTTAAAGGCTCTTTCTCCAAATACACTCATATTGGTGGTTAGGGCTTCACCATGGGATTTGGGGGAGGGCACAATTCAGTTCACAGCAGGTGGGATGGAAGACTGTGTTTCTCCAAGATTTTTATAAATACTGAAAGTTCATTAAAGTTTTACCACCCAAGACTCAGTGCAAAATAAAGTAGGGCCCTGGGGAATTTAAAGCCGCCCACCAGATGTGTTAAAAAAAAAAAAAAAAGATAAAAGTAACCTGCAGAAAATTAGGTCTATGCACTTCAGCAAGTAACAGGAAATGTAACTGACTTTAACTTTGAAACAAGAAGCTGTTTGCATAAGAATTACCTGGGAGGTAACATTAATTATGGATAAGAAACACTCACAACAGGAAACACTTAGGTACAAGTGGGGATATTACTGTATTTCTAATCTGTAGGGTGAACCCTTCCTGTGATGTATACAATTGCTCTTGGGCTCTGCTTGAGCAGAGCACAACGGGAGCGAAAAGAACCTTCAAAATCCAAAGGTTGCAAAACTGGTAGCACACAGGCTGTATTCAGATATGTTTTATTTGGCCCACAGGATGTTGAAAGAAAATAGAATTCGTTGTCAACACTTAAAAAGTGGGAGATTTTACATTAAATATGGATCTGACTTTTCTTGAAAAATCAAATCTGGCAACAACTGAGGCTAAATCCCTACATGGCAACCATCTGCTTGAAGGGAGCATGTTCTCACTCTCCAGTTGCACAAATTCCGCCCCCCAACCCCACCCCCACCTCAGACCTACAAGGGCCCTGCCTGCCCTTGAGTTTGCCATCCCTAATCTAGAGTAAGATCCTCTTGCAAGACTCTACAGACATAGATAAACAGAGGATTCAAAAATATCCCACCACTTGCCCCCACTGATTTGATCAAGTTGATTCACAGCAGGGGAACCTGGGTTGCTCAGCTGGTCAAACGTCTGACTCTTGATTTCGGCTTAGGTCATGAACTCACAGGTTCACAACTTTGAGCCCCATGTTGGGCTCTGTGCTGACAGTGTGGAACCTGCTTGGGATTGATTCTCTCCCTCCCTCTCTCTCTGTCCCTTCCCTGCTCTCTCTCTCTCTCTCTCTCTCTCTCTCTCTCTCTCTCAAAATAAATAAATAAACTTAAAAAAAAAAAAAAAGTTGAATCATGGCAGAAGACTCTATCATGTTTAGGCTTAGAAGACCCAGACTCCACCCCACCCCAAGAATTTACTTCCACCATTAGCAAAATTACGTCAAGATTGTTCTCTCCCCTACATCTACAAGAATTTAAGCTGTTCTAGAGATTATATCAGTAACAAAAGACAAAGGAAAGAGGTGGAAAAGCCTTGAAATTATTAAGAGCCTCAACCCAATATTTGTTCTTTTTTTAATGTTGATAATTTTCTGACACAGATATTATCCACCTGTACACCGATAAGGAAACTGAAGCTCAGAGAATTCAACTATAACCCAAGTTTTCACAGGTAGTAAAAAAACAAAACAAAACAAAACAAAACAAAAAAAAACAGAGTTATAACTGGGGTCTGTTTTATCCACAGGTTTCCTAATCCACCTCACTATTGATGATATAAAGCTAGAACATGCAAAGGATGCTTTTAGGCACCAGACATAAACAGAACACTTCAAACTAGATCTCTTCTATGTTCTTTTACTCAATTTTTATTTACTGACAAGACACTTTTTGTATCTATGCAACCCATTTCATAATTGCACAACTGCAGCCAAATCCGGGGCGGGGGGTGGTCTTTGTTATAGTTTTCTAATACTCACCCCCATCCCTCACATTTAGAGTCAGATTCTTTGTCCTGATTCATAACTTACATTTCGTTTTGTTTTGTTGTTACAAATCCTAAAAAGGCTTGATAATTTGGCCCCTGATCTAACATTGTGAAATTTATTGAAATAAATATTCAAAGTTGGTTGTCAAAAACAGATCAGACCTTCTGCTACTGTTACACTTTGTTTGTCCAAGACCTTTGCATCTAACCAGACAGGGTTAGCCCTATTCCACCTCATCCTCTGTGCAGAGGTCACATCTGTCTCCTGAAGCTCTCAAGCTATACCACATGCTAAGAAATGCCTTTCTGCCCACCTCACTGCTACATCTACAACTGATTACCAAGATCTCTATTGTTGGTGGTGGTGGTGGTGGTAATTTTTGATTCTTTACCGCAAGAACTTACAGAAGAGGACAGTTTTGCTATTGTTGCTTTGTTTGTATTTGTTTGCTTGTTTGCTTTTTATTAAGAGGATGAGAAAAGTAAGTGTTTTCCTCAAGTTATTTTCCTTTTCTGCTCCTTCCCACAATCATGTGGAAAGCGATATTAAAGTTTCTGTAACATGGGATTTAAAAGAAGGGATATTTAGAGCAATAATTCTCCACTGAGGTTGCACATTGGAATAACCAATTTAAAAAATGCTGACATTTGGGCCCAGTCTCCAGAGATTTTTCAAAACAGGATTTGGATGTGATCTGAGTACCAGGACTTTTTAAAACTTTACAGGCGATTCTCATGTGTAGCAAAGGTGAAAACCTTTGGTTGAGAGCAGGGGTACTTTAAGAGAAGGCAGGTCTCTGTTGGTATAGAGCTTGGGTGCTTTCTATCCTCCCAACTCTCACAATTATGTACATGAAGTGGCATTTTTCATGTTCTTCTTTGTACTGTGGTAGTGCCTGGACATGACTTCTCTTTATAACAATCAGTAGTTGCCTTAACCATGGTCTCTCTTTTTCATAGCTTTGTTTCTCCACTGGCAAAGTGCCTTACTCTTGTTTGAAAAAGTAACTGGCAGGTGAGTGAGTGAATGGAATGAATAAATGAAGGCAATAAATAATGGAGAGAGGGGACTGCCAGAAATAGGAGAAGGATAGAGAAAGGAAAGCAGGGAGAGGAAGGTTAAAGGGCAACTTTGCATTCCGTGTAGATTTCTCCAAGATCCTGGTTTCTACTCTTGCTTAGATGCCAAAAATAATAATAGGGTGGTGCTACTTTAGACATGCCCTGCTTGGGAAACAAATATCCACCTAGCACTTTGCCATTCAAATAGGATTCCATCCAAATAGTTTAGAGAACTTGAATTGCATGGGTCTAAAGTAAGAATTATAAAATCTATTTTTCGTTCTTAGCTCTTCTCTCAATTGTTAAAGTGTTAGTGGGGTATATAAAAAAAAGTAGATTCCAGCATTTTGCACAGTTTCAGCATATGGGAGGTAAGGAATAAATGCTTAATGATTGATGAACACCTGGATGTTTTAAAAAAATACATAAAGCAGCAGATAAATGCAATAATTATTCAGCACTTCATAATCCTAAAATTATGTTCAAATACTAAATCAAAATGGTAATAGCTTTGAGGACAAAAGTATATGTCATTTCCACATCTATATTTTCTCAGATGCTTGTCATTATTTTGTTAGGTCAAATCCAAATCCTGTTTTTAAACCTTTAATTTGGATCAATATAGTTTTATAGAGTGGGGCCAAAAGCCTCATCTCATGTACCTGAACTTTCTCCCCAAATCAATAAAAATACCTTCCTGAATATTTTTTTCTAAATTTTTATTTAATCATGTAAAAAATTATGTATAATTAATATACAGTGTTATATTCATTTCAGGTGTACAATATAAGCAATTCTATATATTACTCCATGCTCATCACAATTAGTGTACTCTTAATCCCCCTTATCTACTTCGCACTTCCCCACTCACCTCCTCTCTAGCAACCACCAGTTTTCCCTGAAAGGGCAAAATCACACTCCAAAAATATTCCTTTTCCAACTGGTAGAAAAACGAAATAAATTGGCTAGGTCAGGGTTTTATTATTCACATCATATTTACATGTAATGGTGTGTGTGTGTGTGTGTGTGTGTGTGTGTGTGTGTGTGTGTGTGTGTGACACACACAAAGAAGGAAGGGATTCAGTGTCCATTTTTTAAAAATATTTACGACCAGTTTTGGGCATTAAGTAGGTATTCTGCTTGTAACTAGCAGCCAGGATAATCTTTGAAAATAAGGCTTGCATAGCTCATGGCCATTGTCGCTGTCATTTTGAGCTCCTTGAAGGCTGAAATGGTGGCCTAATCACGGTTATATCTTCAGTACTAGCTCAGTGCCTGACATACAGGGATCACCCAGGAAATTTTAATAAAAGGGAATGTATGCTAAGATATTGAGCAATTCATTTGGCCAAGATGACAAAAGTTCTTTCTTAGCATTGTCGGTATTTAGTTAGAAAATTAACCTTGTGAGCAATTCTGAGTGACCCTTCTTCATCAGGAAGTTAAGCAGAAGAGAATACAAATTTCAACCTTAGCTAACAAGACTGCCTTCTTTCCAGAATACAGTCCAGAAGTTTCAGCTTTTCTTCTTTCTAAGAATGCTTTATTTGCTGGCATAAGCAAGTTGCATTAACACATGTAGCAGGGAGTAGACAAATAAGAATAATGAGGTGAAAATGAAAAATACGTTTTT